GATTAATAGTCTTATCACATTTATACCTTAACATATATGACCCTAATTAATGATCTTACATAAATTTCATATGGTCCGGCTCGAAGTGAACTCAGTAAGGATTGAGATTGATTCACGTGAAAGCTTGTACGTGAACATAATCTAATTTCAATGAAGAAAGCTTGTGCGTGAAGATGATCTATAATATTTCGATGGCTGTTTATAATATACTCAACGATGAATAATATGATTTACTCAACCGTCAAGACCAAAAAACGGATCTGAGACCAGATCTGAAAAAACATTATTCCACCAAAATTTCTGATAATTTTCAACAAAGTTTCAGAATACCATGCAAAATCCCTAACCTTTATTTAAATTTGAATCTAAACAACAACAACCAAAGATGTTGATCTAAACATGCAAAATTCAGACCTAACACAAAAGAAAAATAACCACAAATCACATAATTCTATATTCAACCTCAGAAAAAATAAGATTTAGCAATCCAAGCTTTTCATATAATAATTAAATCTGAATTTAAATTGTAACCTTAAATAAATTCGAATTTACATTAGATCCAAACATCAAATCAATATGGTGTTACCAATTGTTAGATTTATTCTGTATGATTCATCAACATGAATCTTTTAGCCGTATGATTCTCTGATTGAATAGACATAATCGGAATCATACCTGATATATCCATAACTTTTAGGATCTGAAGTTAGGGAATGGATCTTCCAAAACAAAGACTTTAGTTCTCTATTGATGAGATATAGAGAGTTCCTTATTTTTGGCTAGGGTTGTCTTGGAGACAATAACCCTCTTCTATAGAGTATTGATTTCTAGTTCAGCCCTTTATTAAATTAGAAATTATTTAAAATATTCACATATAAATATTTCATAACACTTATATCCAATTTTTTCCTTATTCACATAAGTAATCACTTAAATAGGTTAATTAATTAATAGTCTTATCACATTTATACCTTCTTAATATATATGACCGTACTTAATGATCTTACATAAATTTCATATGGTCTGCTTTGAAGTGAAATCAGTAAGGATTGTGCGTGAAAGAGGATCTATAATATGAATCAATTGCTCAGATACTCTTGGGTGAAAAAAAAATTCTCATATACTCTACTCCTTTTCAATTTTTCTTTTTCATTTGTTTTTAATTCGAAAACTGATTAAAAACTCAATAAATCATTAATGAATTTACTTATTTACAGATCATACCTAATTTTCTTCTTATCTTTACAAATCTAACGCTTTCTTTCATTCTTATCTTCTTCAAAACACTTTTTCTCTCATTCTTCTTGTTCTTCTTATCTTCCTCATCCGCCTCCTCGTCCTCCTGCTTGTTCTCTGCTTCATCTTCCTCCTCTGTCTCCACCCCCGCCTCATCGTCCTCCTCCTTGTTCTCTGCTTCATCTTTCTCCTCCATCTCTACCTCCACCTCCGCTTCCACCCCCACCTCCTCCTCTTTCTCTTTCGTTTCCTCCATTTTTCTCTATTTTTTTGTGTCTTCTTCCTTGTTAGATCTGTTTACTAGAATCGTCTACATTTTTCATAGATCTATCTTCTCTTCCATCTACTTTTTGTGTTTTCTGTTTGATCTAGAACACGAAAGTAAAACTACGAATCAAGAAAAACAGTTTTACCAATTTGTACTCAATTGTTAGTACAACTTCATAAAACTGTTTTTCTGGATTTTAAGTTTCAGTTTCGTGTAACTTTGTAAAACTTTCTAATTATATTTGATGATAATTAGTATTCTAATTAATAAATTTCAAAAATAAGTTCTAAAAAAATCTGAAAAGACATTTCAACAGGTTTTGTTCTACATTGCATGGAAGCTTCATCGAACGTGCGCTTCCCGCTTCGGAACCGGAATCGGAATCAGAATCTTGTGGAATCTCGATTCCAAAACGCTTCTAAAATATCCTATAAAACACGTTGGAAGCTTATGATTCTACTTTGGAATCACGCTTTCAATTTAAAAACACAATATCATATATAAATAAATAAAATATAAAATCTTTTTTATGTTTTTATATTATATAATAGTATATATATAGTGAGAATATATATATATATGTAAATATTATAATAGATATATCTTGTATATATATATATATATTCAACTAGTGCCAATTATTTATAAAATGTAAAAAAATAACTAATTGGTAATATTTATAAACTTAATTTATCTGTATTTTCACAATTGTAATGTGAAATAATTTAAAATTATAAAAAAAGAATAAATGCTTTATTTTAAATTAAAATCATATAAAGTTCAGTTATAAATTTTATAAAATTTTCTTATATATATATATATATATATATATACATATATGTATATTTGGATATACGTTTCCAACACGTACCCGATTCTTAATTTTCTTAAAAATCTAGATTCTACGCTTTCATACGATTCCGTTTCCGCGCACCCGCTTCCGTTTCCATATAACATAGGTTTTGTTAGATTTTTTAAAAAAATATTCATTTGTATTTCAAATAAACAAATAAAGATACTGAAAGATATTAATTAAATTAGGTAAATTTTCATATAATTTCTGACAAATATTTCAAACTAAAAAGAAAAAAACGTAAACCAAACCCCTAATATTTTATGAACCGAAAAAAATATTCACGAGCAAACCGGAATCAAACTGAAATTTAATAAATACAATCTAACAGAAACCAAATTTAAAAGTTATTCAGATTTAATTTAAAAATGTAAATTATAAATAATCTCGCGGGTCTGAATCTAGTTAGTATTAAATGTATAATCCAAAAAAAAAATGTATAATCCAAAGGCTAATTATATTACTATAGTATATATAGTTGCGTTTGCGTTTATTCTTTAAAATATTGTTAAAATGTTTTATATTCTGAAAATAATTCATGTATTTCGTTGCATACTTGCACATATAAATGTATGTATCAACTGGAAAATTTATACTTAAATTTTTCGTTTAACATTGGTGTTCAGGTTGAAGGATTTGGTTTCATAAATATTATATTATGTGTTAATTGTTTTTTTGTGATTTTTCTTTATTTTTTCTATCATCCATTTTTTTAAAAATTGTTTTCTTGTAATTAAGTTCAGGTATACATCGATGCAATTAACCACATTTATTAATACGATTATTGAGACTGTTTTGAAAGATGGTATTTTCAGTTTTTTTTTGTTTTTTTGAAAGAAGAAAAGGTTAAACTCGGATTTATTATCTAATTTTTTGGTGGAGGTACAACACAAAGATGAATTTTTAATGGGTATTCAAATGGGTCAAAAATAATAATCTATATATGCGTGGTCACATGTGTAATTAATAATTTTGTATTAAAGGGAAATCGATCCTTGGCTTGGACCAATATGACAATATCTCCTCTAGTGGATACTACTAGACCACTACGATGTGGTTTCAGTTTTCTTTTTGACAGTGTAAATTTTAATATGTTTGTTTTATTTTATGCCATGACATTTTTTAAAATATGTTCCAAGTGTGGAGGCTTTATATTGCATTTCTCGTTTAAATTGTAAATTACGTAACTCTTTAGATTCTCAAGACAACAAACCTATTAATTTGTACTATTTTCTGTCATATGAAAAACTATTTTCAGTGTTACTTTCAACAACTTTTTTCAGAAAAAAATCTGCTCACAATTTAACATCAAAAGTTATAACAAAATCAGGTGTTTGTATAGTAGTTGCATATATATAGTTTTGTTGTAAATAAATATATTATTAGATAAGTTTTTTTAGTTCTGTTATTTTAGTAAGTTATGCTATTTTGTGGTATATGATATATATAGTTTTCATCTTTCTTTCAGTTTATTGATATATCTAAATTATTAAATCATAAATAAAATTTCATATTTTTAAAAATACGTATATATTTAATTATTTATTAAAATATTTAAATGATATGTAGATGATGATGCTATTATTAGGGATTTTATTTCTCTTTTATTTAAATAAAATTTTATCTTAAAAATAATGAAATCCACATATATAAAGTATATATATTTAATATATGTATGTATTAGTATAACTAAATTTAGAAATTTTATTTTTTGTTAGGGAATTATGTTGAATTTTTTTTTAATAATTTTAGGCTGATTTCATATTACAATTTTCTAAATTCATATCATTTTTGTGAGAATAAATGTGGTGATAAAACATATATAAAATCATTTTGTATATAATGTTTAAGGATATGTATGAATTGAATCATCTGATCAAATAAATAAAATAACAAATTCAGCTGACTGGAGCCAACAAGTGTCGATAAATAACGCCCCCTTGCGAGGGTTAAGGCTACACCTCCAGCTTTTTTCAAGTCTTGAAAGCATTACTGTACAAAACCTCTTATATCTCTTCATAGTATCGACATGCCTTGCGAAAACAACCTCGTTGTAAAGCAAATCATCGACTTATATAGACAAATCTCAAGTCTCGAGAGTTTAAAACCATCCAAGAATGTCGACACTTTGTTCGGACAACTCGTGTCCACGTGCTTACCAACGGACACAGACATCGACGTCACAAAAATACACGATGAAAAGGTTAAAGACATGAGGTCTCATCTCATCAAGCTTTGTGGTGAAGCCGAAGGATATTTAGAGCAACACTTCTCCACAATCATAGGCTCTTTTGAAGACAACCCACTTAACCATTTACACATGTTTCCTTACTACAACAACTACCTCAAACTAAGCAAACTCGAGTTCGATCTCCTAGCTCAACACACAAGCCATGTCCCTAGCAAAATCGCTTTTATCGGTTCGGGTCCGATGCCACTTACTTCCATCGTCTTGGCCAAGTTTCACCTTCCCAACACAACGTTTCACAACTTCGACATCGACTCACAGGCTAACATACTCGCTTCAAACCTCGTTTCTCGCGACCCTGACCTCTCTAAACGCATGATATTCCACACTACTGATGTATTAAATGCTAAAGGGTTAGACCAATACGATGTCGTTTCTTGGCTGCTCTTGTTGGGATGGATAAAGAGTCAAAAGTCAAAGCTATTGAGCATTTGGAAAAGCATATGGCTCCTGGAGCTGTGCTGATGCTAAGGAGTGCTCATGGACTTAGAGCTTTCTTGTATCCAATCGTTGACCCTTGTGATCTTAAGGGGTTTGAAGTGTTGACCATTTATCACCCCTCAGATGAGGTGGTTAACTCGGTGGTGGTCGCACGTAAGCTCCGTGGCTCGAGTGAAGCTCGTAACAGCCAGATCGGACGGTGTGTGGTTATGCATTGTAATTGCTCGAAGATCCATGCCATTATGAACTGTCGTGGTATGATGAAGAATATGGTCGAAGAGTTTACTGCTATTGAGTAAACAACACACACAACTCTTTTCTTTTCTATTTTTTTTTTTACTGACACAACTCTTTTCTTGAGGCATGATGTTTTGCTCTTTTCGATTTTGTATCAATGTGTGTTGTGATGTGTGTGAGGACAATACGTTTAAATGAATATATAAACGATCCAGATAATTTTCACTTAAGATTATCTTTTTAAGAAATCATCAACAGCTTTTGAGAATACACAAGAGATATAAATATTGATTAATGTGTTTTCTATTAATTTCTAATTAACAGTCTTTGAACACTATTAAGGAAGAGGATTTACACATATTCCTCTACAACTATATTATTAGAGGCAGATCTAAAATCTAAGAAAACCTGTAAACTGGTATATTTCATAGGGACATGTATTACATAGAGTAGTTTGTTTTGTTCCGGTCTCAATTTTGTTTTTGTCGTCAATTTAAAGAAATCATAAAGAAAACAGACTCATATTAATTCTGTAAACCATGTCGGTAGTTCTGAATCCATGTGAACAACAAAAGACGATTGCGTCTTGACACTTCGTGCAAGATTATTCGTCTTCAAATTTCTTGTTCGTGGTACATAAATAATCTCTGAACTGAGGAAGTTGTCTTGGAAGGTCTTGATATCTTCTAAATAAATTGCAAAACCAAGCCATTTTCTGGTTCCGAAACAATCTTCACCACTTGAGAACAACCGTTGCAAATGTAACCCGAAATTGACGTAAATTCCTTATACATTCCATTGCCAAAGTAACGCTTCCACCTCCGCGTGTAGACGGGATAGACTAGCCCGGACATTCCTTGCCCCATCAAACCATCAAAACTTTCCAGGATACTGAACCAACCTTGTCCTGAAAACATATTTTTATCTTTCCAAGAATCATCCGTAAAACACCAACGCCATAGAATGGCCGGTAAATTAGATACCTCTATATAATGTATTGCTCGCTGTGTGTTTAATACTTGTGTATCAGCCCATAGTATTTCTTTTGTTTCCGCATGTTTGAGTGTTTCTGTCGGGCCTACATCTATGTTGCTGAAAACCTTGTTGTTCCTGCCTTTTCAAATGTATCAAAGAATCCTTATAAACCGGTGATCATCAATTTTCGGTTGAATTCTCCAAAATAAATGAAGAAAAAAAGATATATTTTGGATCACAAAAGAAATTCCCCGTTTGCTCAAGATATATTATTACAATGAATACTTAAAATTAGAAATCTCATGTATATTAAAAAGAGAAACATTACAACTTTTGAACCATAATTTCAAAATCTTTAGAAAAACAAGTTGGTCCTTCTATACATATAGTATACTTTTCATTAACCTAATCATATAATTAATTATTGATATAAAATTTTATTCATTATTTTTAAATAAACATACAAAATTACCTAAGCTGATAATTGAGGATTTTAAATAATAAAGATTTGATAATAATTTATACATCCTCTATCATGTTTGTATTATATTAAAATTATTAAAATATATTAGACAATCAAATTAACCAAATAATAAAAAAATTGATTTTACTATATATGTTATATTTTAATTTTTTAAACCAAATATAAATTAATAAACTTTTCAAAAATCTCACTTTTAAAATTCATGATCAATGGTTTAATTTTTATTTATGACAAGATACAAATGTTCATAAAATTATATGAGTAAAATTTTTTTAATGAATATTACATTAAATATATATATATATATTAATATATTAATATTCTTTAAATTATATTATATAAACTGCATAAATATTTTAGTTTCAATTTTTTCATTAAAGTTTTAAATATGATTATAAATGAATAAATAATTAAAAGTTCCAATTTAAAATTTTGTTATCAATGTTTCAATATTTTTATAAAAGTACAATAATCATAACACCATGTGAATAGGAAAATTTTATTTGATAAATAGTCATATTAAAAAGTATCTATACATCAATATTAAAATAATTTAAACTTATTTATAAACATTATAAAAGATAAAAAAAAATATTATTTGGATTTATTTACTATAAAATGACTGTAAATAACAATGATTATTTTGATTTATATTTCTACATCAATTTAATTATATATGTAACAGTCACTAACTTCTCATTAATTTAATATAGGTAAGAAACAAAAATAAATAATATTACATAAAATTATATGTATATATAAACATTCATCATGCACAAGGTGTGGGTCTTAATCTAGTGGTCATAATATAATAAAATGAAGACAAAAAAAATTAAATATCCTATAAAATAGGATAGATGAAGTACTTTAACATGTGGAAAATATCAAACATTTCATAAGAAATAAATATGATAAAATTAATAAAAGAACTGTTTCTTAAATATGAAGGTAGATGATTTTCCAACAGGGAAGCTAGAGTCATTGTAACCTCTACTTCCTCTCTTGTTGGAATAACCAGGATAATGATTTAGGCAAAACTCAATCTCACTGACCAAATCTAAACCTTCTTTCTCACCGAGAGTCTTTAGCTTCCACTCACTAAATGGATATTCTGTCTTATGAACCACATGGATCTCTCCTCCCTTGTCTTCGTCTTTCACCAACATTCTTGCATTCCTCATAAAACCTCTCACAAGTTCTTGCATTCCTCATAAAACCTCTCACCAACATTCTTTCCCTTTCGATTTTATGAAATATGAAAAATACCAAAGAGAACCAAAAAAAAAGGGAGGACAACAATTAATGAGGTTACTCAATCGTACATGATTATTTTGATTTCGTGCTCACGACCATAGTCGAATCCAGCGTGTGGGAAATTAAAAATAACTCTATCGTATGTTGCAGAACCACCAAAGTTAGGCTTTGCAGTCATGGAGTGCACGTTAACTCCAAAGACTACATTGCACCCGAGTCTCTCCAACTCTTCTACATTCGCCTTCCCATTCTTGAAATTGCGCTCTAATTAACTCCGCTACAACATTAGTTGTTCAAAAATTAATCAACAGTTATTAGTTATCATAAGACCAATGAAATCTGTGACTCATGTACCTTGTAGACCAACATGTTTAAACCGTTAAGCAAAGAACGTCTAATATTAGTTGGGTTATATTCCTTTTGAACGTTTAAATTAATTAGACACTGAATATTTTAAAAAAGAAGCATAAACTAATCTATGTTTAACTTGTGTAATAATGGTGGGAGGCTAGAAACATTTAGAGATAAAATGGTGAGTATTTCAACCAGTAGACTACTATGATTGACTGCAAAAACGAATAATCCATATAAACCATAGAAAAGGTAATATGTCTATTAGGTGATCAAAAGAATAATCAAGGTAAGATATTTACTATTAGCTACTGATTTACCTTGAGAATCGAGAGTGGTAGCAGTGAGGTTAGTTGCTGAACCAAAGGCTCTCGCTAGAGACAGAGTAAAGGAGAAGTCTCCTTCTCCAACCAAAAGTATTTTTTGTTTGCTATTGTAATGTTTAAACCTTTTAGTTACTGGAACTTCCATTTCATCTGTGCTTAGTTTTGCTTCTCACACCGTGTATATATATTTATGGCTAATGGGTCAAAGAAGACTTAAATGTTTGGTTTTGTTTGTTTACGATATTAGTTTTGGCTCTTCGAGCTTTGTGAGTATTTATGTATTTTGAAAGCATTCAATATTCTGTTAATTTATCCTTTCCAAGACAGGAAGCAAGCTTCTTCTTTTGACCTAGTAATGTTTCTATCATATATAGATTCCACCGGAGTACGCGATGATCTATGTCCATAGAGTGCACCTTAAAACCGTGAACACGGTTCACTCACGTCGCTCCAACTCTTCTAGACTTCTACGTTATTCTCTGCATCCTTGTACAGTTGTACTTCCGCTCTAACTCCTCTACAACAAGCATGATTGTTCTCAACGCAATCTTACATCTTTCCAATCCCCTAATCACTATTTGAAATATCTACTCTATTAAAATAGAATCATTCTTTTTATCCAAGTTGTCATTAAAATTTGGATCTTTTCTAGAATGTTACAAATAATATAAGTCATATAATTATATTACTTGTAAAAAGACATATTACTTAAATTAAACCACCACAATTAATGTAAAAAGACGACCTTAATGTAAACTACTTTCAAAATACGGCAGATATCTATATGTATACCAAAAACACATATTTCTCCTACAAATATGAAATGTTCTAAAAGAATATATATCATCAAAATATGGAATATGGAAATCTACTAATTATACTTAAATTAAATCAGTGGTTATTTATGGAATATAGTCTTGGACTTACTTTTATTTTTGAAACAATTATATAGTTTGGTTTTTGGGCTTAGTATTAAGAAAAAACTCCAAAAAACATTGAATAAACTTTTCACCTTAAAAGATCAAAAAATCAATTATTATTTTCAGACCCAAAAGGTATTTAATATTTTTAACAAAACAAAATTATCTATTATTAATCATTTATTTAAATCATGTACTTTAAAACATGTTAATATTTTTTTATTTTAAATAACAATCACTTTGTTTTGATAAATTTCAATTGTAACTTTTAAATAATTTATTGTTTTCTTTTTCTTAAATAATTTACTGATTAAAAAAAAAGTAAAGCAAAACCAAAAACCAGATCTAAAAACTAAAATCCAAAACCAAAAGCTGAAAACACATGTTATATTTTTTTTGCTTTGTTAATAAACTATTTCAAAATTTTTTATTTAAATTTGTTGTCATCTTTTCAGTTTTAAATTAGATGTTCGATTATTTGAGATTTGTTTGTTGGTAATATCAGTTCAAACTAACCCAGCGAGTTTAAAAATTAAAAACCCAAATCAAAAACTGAAAATGAAAAGTAGAAACTTAAAAACTAAAAACCAAAATCTAAAAATAAAAAAAATTGAAACTAAAAACTAATGAAAAACAATCATCACCACAAATTTTGGTGAACTGATTTTATATCAAAATATTCTTTAAATTAAGACAAAACCCAATTATATAATTTTGAAATCATAAAAAATTTCCGTGCTTTTCATACGCGGGTCAAAATCTAGTTGAAATTGAAACGGAAGCATGCCTTTGATGCTTTTGCCTCTCTCACCACACATTTACATGTATATATTATAAACCGATATGAATTAAATTCCATGGATCAAAGAGTTTTCTCTTTGCTAATTTGTCTCTTCAGATTTTGTGAGTATTACTTGTTTACTTTTTACCAGCTTTATTCAATATGCTCATTATGTCATACATACAAAAGACGAGAGTTTTTAAAATACTAGTATTGGAATCCCACATCCGAGTTAGTGTTTTTAATAAAATAAACTAGATTCTAATCCGCGCAACCGCGTGGATGTTTTTTCAGTTTTGTATACATAAATATTTATTTATATTATTAGTCGTATACATTTATAACATTAATCATATATTTACATATTTATACTACTCTTTCAAATACAACAATTATATATTTTACATGTTGTAATTAATCAATTTTTTAAAATCATCAGATCTCTTATTATATATTTACCGGATTGTAATTACTATTAAACTAATTAATATATGCATGAAATAACATATTTAAAAATTATTTTATATTTTATTTATATTAAATTTGGACCCGTCCTTCAAAGCCGAATTTTTTTAACAATATTTTTACTTTTATTCCTTTTAGATAATATATTATTGTATATGGAAAAAATCTAAGATATAATTTTTTTTATCATATTGTATTATAAAGTTTGCTAATGTTAACCCATCTTACCAATCTATTATATTTTTGAACATAAGTATTTTATACTTATAAAAATAAATATATATAATAAATTTATAATTTAATATAATTTATCAGATTTCCTCCAATATATAATTTTTAATGATTTATTATAACTATATAAGAGATAAAATATAATATAATATTGTTTTTTATTTTATAAAGTTGATAACTGAATATATTAATGCATAATAATACCTCATTTGTAAGAATAAAATTATTTTATACTTATGAAAATAAAATATATATATATATAAATTTATAATTTAATATAATTTTATCGATAAAATAGAATATAGTAGTATTTTATATTTTATAAACAATAACTAATTATATTAATGCATAATAAGAGTTCATTGCTAATAATAAAATTAGTGAATTATTTACATAAATTTTTGAAACTAAGATATTGTTAAACAATTTTTTAACCAATTTGTTAGATTTATATATATAATGACGAAATTTAGTGAAAACATTGCAGATAATTTCTAAATTATATACATATATATATATATATAAACTAATGACGAATTTTAGTGAAAAAATTTACAGATAATTATTAAAAATAATATATTTACAAAATCTTTTGAACAGATTTGTTCGATTTTTTTTAATTTACTATTTATTTGAACTGATAAAATTATATATTAGATATTATGATAATTGATAATTTATTAACCAATCCGGTTTTGTAGGAGTCGGTGGTTATATTATGAGTGATATATTATCATTAAACTATATTATTAGTAATAAATTAATAATAATTGATTGATAGTGAAAGTTTTTTTTTTTTAAATCATACATGAATTGAGGTTGTGACTTCTGTTTTAATATATAAGATATATGCAAATATATATATAAAGAGAGAAGAAGAGGTTTTCTTCACACGCTGCCATATCAACATTGCATAAGAGCATCTTTATCCCACCACCCTATAAAAGGGTGCTTATTTTTTTATCTGATTAAAAAAAATTAAAAAAAGGATCAATTGCGTGTCGTCACGTGTCAGTAAGGCCCGCGAATAGTATAAGCAACAAACAAAACGCGGCGCTTATTTTGAAACTGAAGCATCGTTGCTTGCCATTTTTGTGGGGTCCATAGGGCTAAGCATCCCATTTTTTGTGCGATAATGCTGCTCTAAGAAGAAATATTCGTCACGTCAGACGGTAATCAAGTTAAATTTTCATTGCTTGCGGTAATTAAAATCCGTAACTTTGGCCTCATTATTTATTTTACAAATTATTAAAAGTGGCTACGAGTATACCTAGCCCGTTGTTAAAAATTCATTCATCGTCTTCTCCGCCAACCTTGAGAAAACTCTAATCTCATTCTCTTTGTGGCACCATAGACCTGAGTAACAGATTCACAACTTAAAGACAGATCCATAAACCCTTGCATTTAATATTGGTTAAGTCGATCCCAACTATGTCTCATTACAATTCACCGTACCCTCTTCGATTTCTTCACCCTTGAACCTATAAATAGACGTCACTAGTTTCATGATTTTCAAAAATTCATCGCTCCTCTTTATTCAAATATCAGAAACACTCCTTCAATAATGATGGCCGCTACTCATATCTTTGTTTCAGAGTTGAAACCAGAGCGTTGTACTCAAACTGTTGCCACACGCCTACTCCAATTTTGGGAAGCTATGAATGTGAAGAGACGTGGTAAATTAATGGGCGTCGATATGCTGCTCATCAAGTGATTGTATTATCTAATTTCTTTTGTGTTTGTTGTATTTTGTTTGTGTTTACCATGGCTTTTTAAATTCCAAATCTCCTTAGTTTGTAGTCCTCTCTCATCCAAGCATTTGTATATGTTCATCGCCTAAACACTTTCCGAGAAATTATTAGAGAGAGAGCAATGTAAGAGTTTAAAAAAAACATCTAGCTAAAGCCCTAAACAAACTACATTGCAGGTGCGTTTAAAAAAGAAGAGGCAACAATAGGGCGTAATGACCACTCCCTCCACACCAGCCTTACAGTTATCATGTCACCACTATTTTTGTTTTAAACAGAACCAGAATAGAGTATGTCAACAAAAAGAGACCCAAAAGTAGGGAAAATGGGTTTTAAAATCTTGAACTATTTGCAACCGACTAATTAAATACCGAACTATTGCTCGTGCAGTTTAATGCCCCAACTATATGTTGACCCGGCAAATTGAAGACTACAAAAGTCATCCGTTAAGTCAATAACGTTTGTCGTTAGTTTTAATACTCTTCCCCCATTCGCTTACGACATAACTCAAAATCTCTAATTTGAAACCCTAATTCCGCGATTCCGGCGACGATATAAGTGATTTCTGGCGAGATAGAAGAGCAAATCCAACAATGTGATGAAGAACTTTGGGAAGAACAAGAAGATTTGTCGGGATACGGCTTAGTTTTCTTCTGAATCAAAATCGGTTAGTCATATGTTCTTTTCAGTGCTTTCTTATGGATTTCCGGGCTCTTTAGTAACAGTGGAAACATCGGGAACTATAGGATTTGACCCTCCCCTTCAAAACGGAATCTTATCCCTGCAACTTCCCCGTCTTCCGAAGAAGGTCTTCACCATATTCTCGCAGGAAATCGTCTATGTTGTCACCGGAATCGCCTTCTCACGAAATTAGGGTTTCAGATTTGGGGATTTTCTGTTTTTGAGTTATGTGAGAAAATTAAAACTAACGACAAAGGTTTATTAACTTAACGGCTGACTTCCGCTGTCTTCAAGTTGCAAAGTCAATATATAGTTCGGG